TATATTATGGCTTAAAACTCAAAATTTGAATTTCATGGACCATGCTAAAATTCAATAAAACTACATTTGAATGCAAGGGGGAAAGAGCAACATGTGGCTTGAATTTTCCTTAAAATACACATGGGATAGTTAAGGGGGAAAAGTGCTTGGGACAGAGTACATCTGGAGTTTTGCCAAACTCATACCATTTGAACAATGGTTCAAGACTGAATTCAAATCCCAAGCAGATCTCTTCAATCTCCCCCAAAGGGTATAAGGTAGCATTTCAGCTTTGAAAGATAAAGTTAATGAAAATACTTTCAGTGAGCAGAATGAGAATGTTGGACTTGAAGGAACTATTTTTCCCTCCAGAATTCAAGGACTTCCCACCTCCATTTGGATCCCCATTCTGCTTTTTCACCTACAAAGAGATCATTACTGGCTTTTGAAACCATGTTTTTTAATTTCCCATTTTCAATACCAATTCCACCCTGCCTTAGCTCCCCTGTATGCAGAATTACATACACACAGTCGGATTAACACCCATACAACTTCAACTCCCCTGGGCCACATCATCCAAGCCCTGATCATGCTTCCAAAATATCCTGTGCCCATTTCATAGTCAGGAACAGTGAAGAATGAAAATAGTTATTCAGTGGAGGAGCCAAATCCCACCACAATTTACAATAATCTCTATAATTTTGTGTATAGCAGAAATGGCAATTTTGTAGGTGAATGGAATTTAAGGGGATTTAGTGGCTTTGGTGATCAATGTTTCTTCTCCTCAGGCATTCTGTTTCCATACTCTTCTGGAGTATGGCTGCACTAGGGCTAAGCAGGCCAATGTCATCTTTGAGTCCCAGGAGAGGTGCTGATCAGCCTCCCAAAGGCTGCAATGCAAAGACGCTTGGAGTTCGGCAGTGCCACTTCCAGCTAACTGGCTCTGATTCCTGAGGATGCAGCCAGCCCTCCTCCCTGGCTGGACTAATGCCAGTCTACTTAAGGAGATAATTGACCACAAGCCAGCCTGACTGACAGGCTTCCTAAGCGCCAGATGCCAAACGCGCCTGTCCGGGTCTTTGCAGGAGGGCCTGTTCTCCTAGGGACCCCAGCTAACATCACTACGCCTTCCCTCAGCCCTGGGCTGTCGTCTCAGCTTCTCAAGGAAATATAATCAAATAGATTATTGCAGGTTGTTTTTCTTCTACTTTTAAGGACCCCTACACTAAAACCTTTCTCCCTTTCTGTGCTCCTCCACATCTTCCGTAGGGTCTGTGCATTCAGTGAAGTGGGATACAGGCTAAGCAACTGATTTTTTTTTCCCCTATCATCCTGGAAACCAGAAGCGTAATTTTTTTATCTCCATCAGTTCTTAGCATACCCAGCGTGATTTTATTAAACCTGTGAACAGAAGTTGTAAGTATATAAGTGCTTGTACTACCATCCCACTTAGGTCCAAAACTTACTTTCCCTCCACCCCAGTATGTAGTTAGAGAGAATACCTGCGAGATCATATGAGATCACATACTCAGTTGAGAAGGTTACCAAAATATCACCATCATCTTATTATTCTTATTATCTTTAGCAGTTCTCCATATACTTAGATTACCAGGACTAAACTTTTTTTAAATGGTTTGACCCCTATTTAAACATTTAAAACAAGCACTGAATCTGGCTCAGTGTCTTTGAGTGGGTGTTTTTCGACATGTGGGTATGAAGACCTGATTCTGGTCCAGCAGCGAGCCAGGGCCTGGGGTCCTCCCAGTCCTGCCATCTCAGAGGTCTGCCCAGAATAATCCTGCCACCTCCAACTTGGCTCCTGACAACACAGTCACAGTTAGACTGCAGGTCCCATCTTAGTTAGGAAAGGTCTCCAGGGCAGTCAGAGTCCAGGGCTTTAATTGGGACCTCCCTTGAGATCAGAGTTTTGGAGAAAGCTCCTCCCCTGTGTTTACTTGCATGGATCCACAAGTTCTCTGGTCTCAGTGCCATGCATAGCTTCCTTTGAGTACCAGGGTCTCCTGCTGGAAGAAAACCTGAGTGGAATCATTTCTAAGCTCATGTTGCCTTCCATTATCCTTTCTCTCTCTCCTTACAGTAAAAACCAAACTACCATGATTCCCCCACAGAAGCACAGGGGGTGCCAAGCGAGTGTGCAGATGTAGGACTGGGTGCTAAGAGGGTTCAGGAAACCCCGTGAGGGTCAGTTATTCACCCATCTCCGAGGCGTGGCCCACAGGCTCTTCTCTCAGGAGAGGCTGGCACTTAGGCCAGCCCTTCACCTGCCAAACATCATTTTGGGCTGCGCCCCTTTCCCAGAAGTGGGACTGGAGGCATTGCTCTAAAGTTCACTGGCTTTCAGAGAGGTGGAGAAGGAAGGATGTTTTTTTGGAGAAACTCCTGGAATCCAGGACCTCCTTCTTCAGGCCGAGTGACTCCCCACCTCTAAATTAGGGGTCCCCACCCAGGGCTTTCAGGCATCACCTCACCCAGAGATGTGGACAAAGAACCCAGATTCTCAAGTCCCCGCCCCCGAAAGTCTGTGACCCCCATGTCAGTGTCTCCCCTTCTTTTTTGTCTTTCAACAACATCAAACTAGTGCAGAGGAAAATCTCGCAGTATCAGACTGACAGAATGGGATACACTAGCATTGTCCGAGCCCCCAGAGAGGCGCTGGCCTAAACTGAGACGTGTTTCCCAGGCACCGCCCGAACTCAGCTGCACGCTGCCAGGGCAGTTGTAAGTAAGGGATGCGTGGAAACACCTGTCTTTTAAGAAGCACCCCCTCCCCCCAGTGTCATTACCGTGCGCATGTCATCTTGTCGGCCCTTCACTTTCTTCGGAGGAAAGGCGAGAGGAGTTTTCCATGGGGTCTAGTTGGGCAGAGGGAAGCTGGTTCAAGATGGAGCCCTGTTCGCGGGTGGAGAGCAGAAGCTGGGCCGCGGCTTCCCTGGCCCCAGCGGGGTTCCCTGCACCGGGCTGGGCCACCCCGCCAGCTCCCCGCGCAGCTCCGCAGTTGTTGCAGCCTGCAGGGCCCTTTCGGGGAGGACGGGCAGCAGGGCCCTGGGCTCTCGCGGGCCCAGCTCTCTGCAGCCCGTGGGCTCCAGCTGGCGTCATCCCGGAGCCCAGCTCGCCCGGCGCCTGCGTGCAACAGGTTCCCGGGCCTCGGCGGCGGGGCAGACCTCGTTAACGCGGCTGCGACGGCCGGGGCAGCATCCCGGCGCCGGCCCCTCGAATTTAAGGGGGTGCAGCTGGGTACCCACCTAATGGAACCGATTCCCCTGTCGCGGCCTGCCTCGAGGACCTCAGGAGATGGAAAAGGGTGTGGGGTGGGGGTGATGGAGTACTGATGTGAACCTCATGTTGGAAAAACAACCACAAAAATCACTGTAACCGCCCCTCCCCCCACCCCGCCCCGGCTAATTCAGTTTCTAGCACTGAGGTGCACTAGAGCTCAGTTGGTGTAGCAGATAAATGCGCCAGCTGGTAGAAGGAGCCGTGGAGGGCACGCGCCCCTGCGGGTGACTGGCCTGTGACCTCACCCCGCGGAAGCTCTGACGTTGAGAAATAAAGGGGACGGGAGGGTCTGCCAAGTCCTCTGACCGCACAGTGGGCTCTGGAACCGCGGTCTGGTCTCTTGAGAAGCGAAACACCTCCACACGGCACCGGCGTATCCAGAGAGAAGCTTTAATGGAGAACACCTTGTACAACACTGGCAGACAGGAACTTGTCACAAAATCACACCCCGAACGCGGCGCGGGCACAGACCAGAGGCGGCTTAGAGGCGAAGAGCCGTTGCTTCCTCCCTACCCGCCCTCCTTCGTCCCCGAAAGTTTATTGCAAGTAAAGTGCTATTCCTGGGGCTAAAAAGGGGGGACGGAGCGACAGCGGCAAGCCAGGTTTCCTTTCCACTGACACCGACGGCAGCGCGCGCAGGGGCCGGGTCATCCTCTCGCATCTGTCTCGAGGGGACGAGAAGGCGAAAACCAGAAACTGCTCCTGGAAGCCTTGGGAGCGACACTGTCCGGTGACGCGGCAGATTTTTCTTGCATGCATGAGTTAGGGGACAAAAATCCCGCGATGCAAGTAAATTTCCCCCCTTTAACATCTCAGATGGAGCAGATCGTGAGAATCATATTACTGGGGAGCTTCCAAACGGTTTCATCCGATTGATACACAAACGAATTGCAGGTAGAAAGTCGCCTTTTATTGTCTCTTTGGTTGTGTTTCCCGACATTTACTTTTGGAATCTGGGACTTTGCTCTTTAAGCCGCTGCTGCCATTCTCTTGTGTGCAGACTAATTGCTTTCGCTTTTTTCTTATCCTCCTCGACCCCCAGGTCAGAGCCAGGAAACTTACATGTTTCCCAAGATCCTCGGTGGTGTTCCCACTGCGCCCTAAAGCGGCTTCATTCATAACGCCGTTTCCTAGCCCATCTCCCTGACCAGGAAAATGGCAGTATCAACCCCTCCCTCTTTTCCTGCTTAAATAAAACGAGAAATCCTTAGTGAGTAGCTGTTTTGTCTGGAACGTTCCACGAGAGGCAGCTGCCCCGCTCTGAGACCCGCGGAGGGAAACTTGGTGGCCGAGATCTGTTGCAGTGTCACTCTCGTGCGTTTCTCCCCGGTGTTTGAATACGACAGCTTCCGGTCCCAGGAATAAGAGTTGAAACACATTTCCAATTTGCCTGCTAATGAGGCTTCCCCAAACTCCTTCGTTCCCTCTCCCCCCATAACTTATTGATTTATAATATTAATTACAATAGAAACTCTTACCTGAAAGTTGACTTTCATTAATCTGATTGTACAACACAGTATAAACACAGACACCAGAAGTGTTATATTTATTCAGACAACTGGAGCATCCACTTGCGGGTTTGTTTGTCTGTTTAAATACCTGCCTAGCAAAGGCTGGGGCTCAGGCCGGCCGGGTCAGGGCCGGGTCAGGGCGCTGTCTCCCCGTCCCGAGGTCTGGGGACCAGACATCTCTCCGCATTCCTCTCTCCCCGCCCCCTGGGAGCCTTAGGAGTGCACCAGCACCGAGTGCAGCGAGCCGCCCTTGCTGTCGGCCGCGCTCGCGGCGCTGGGCTCCCGCAGGGAGGCGACGGGCGAGGCGGAGGCCGTCGGGCACAGGGCGGACGACGCCGGCGGCTGCTGTGCGGCCGCGGGTACCGGGAGAGCCGGCGGCAGCGCGGCTACGGGCGGCAGCGCGGGAGTCGGCTTGATGGGCACCGGCACCGCGGGCAGGCCCTGGCTCGCCGAGTGGCACAGGGCCTTGACCGGCACCCCAAAGGCCCCGTAATCCGGGCCCACGGGCACCCCTGCGGCGGCGGCGGCCGCGGCGGCCGCGGCCACCGAGTCCACGACCCCGACGTGTGGCCACACGGAGCCGACGACGTTGCCGAGCTGGCCCGGCACCGGATAACCCAGGTGGTGCATGACCGAGGCCAAGGGCAGCCCGCCGGCCTGCAGCACGCCCTTGTAGTCACGGCCGATGATGTTCTCGATGGCGAACGGGTGCTTGAAGCCCGACGTGGACGCCGCGGCGGCGGGGCCCAGCCCGTAGGGCGGGAGCTGCGACAAGCGCCCCACGCTGCCCACCGCGGCTGCAGCCACGGCCGCCGCGGCCGCCACAGCCGCCGCCTCCTGCATCTTGCCGGGGTGAGCCGGCTGCTGCGGCTGCTGGGCGGGCGGCTGCGGGGGCTGCGACGGGAGGTGCGGCGGCGGCTGCTGGTGGAAATAATGCACCACGTGCGGCGGGGGCGGGGGCGGCTGCGGCGGGGGGTGATGGTGGTGGTGGTGCGCTGCAGCGTGGTGGTGGTGGTGGTGGTGCGCGGGGTGCGGGTGGTGGGGGTGCAGGTGCCCTCCGGGCCCCGCGCCTGGCGACCCCTTGGCGCTCCCAGCGTGCAGGTGAGTGTGGTCCGCGCGCAGCACCTTGAAGCGCTTTCGGCGCCTCAGGAAGCTGCCGTTCTCGAACATGTCGCCGCAGTCAGGGTGCAGCGCCCAGAAGCTGCCCTTGCCCGGCTGGTCGGGCCTCCGCGGGATCTTGATGAAGCAGTCGTTGAAGGAGAGGTTGTGGCGCAGGCTGTTCTGCCAGCGCTGCGTGTGCTCGCGGTAGTAGGGGAAGCGCTCCATGATGAACTTGTAGATGTCGCTCAGCGGCAGCATCTTCTCGGCCGAGTGCTGGATGGCCATGGCGGTCAGCGAGATGTATGAGTAGGGCGGCTTCTGGTCGCTGTACGAACTCTTCCCCGGCCGCGGCATCGCCCCTGGCGCCTCCACCGCCCTGTGGCTCCGCAGCCCTCTCCAGAGGCCTGGTAGTCTCCGCTAATCCCCACTGCGCCCGCCCGGCCGCGCCACTCGTCCCGGTCTTCCCCTAGACGCTCCTGCCGTTGGTCTCCCGCCTGCTCTCAGCTGCTTGGGGTCTCTGCGATTGGCCTTTCGGGCCGATTTTGCTCTCCGCTCACAACTTCTGGCCCCGACGGTCGCCGACGGGCGAGCACAGTAGCGGGCGGGGCGCGCCAGCTTCCCCGCCACCCTCGCGGCGCCTTCCCGCGGGTGGCCGGAGACAGAGCGCTGGAGCTGGCGTTGGAAGAGTGGGGAGGCGCCGTGCTCCCTTCCGGGCTCCTCCTTGCTTTTTCTCGGTCCGAGGGAGGCGCAGGCCAAGCCGGCTGGGAGGAACAGCTGGGCAGTCAGAATTCTGGCCCTTTAAATCCAAATTGGCACTCGCTGTCCTGGAGGCCGGGGTCGGCGACACCTACCCGCCCGGGGAGCTGCCCCCAGACCCAGCGCTTAGTTTGCTGAGGAGTTCTATTTTCCCGGAGGGGAGAGGCGAGGTAAGGAGAAGGGAGCCCGCTTCTAGCAGTCTGCGTGTCCCTTTTCTCCGGAGGCTGGCGGTGGAGCCGGGGACTGAGCTGTAGACGGTCGCTGGAGGGGAAAAGTTTGGCGGTTTCCGCAGCCGCGGCGCCTGCAGGCTCTGAGCAGGGGCGGGGCGCAGGCGCGCGCCGCGGGCCTGAGGGGCGTTTGGAGCCCCGAGAGGATGACAGCGCGGCGGAGGCCGGCTCGGTGGTCCGCGCCGCAGCTGCCGCCGCTCTCCCGGGCCCGTCTGGAGCAGGAGAGGCGGCGGCGGCGGCTGTGGCAGAGACGCGCTCTCCTGGCTGCGTTTTGTAATGGTCCCCGAGACGCCGAGACCCCCGCAGCTCACGCTTCGAGACTATCACATGACCGCGGCTGAGGGACTCCGCGCCGCCGCCGCGTCTCTCGCAGAAGAAGGGGCAAGAAGACGAGATGCTTCGCCCCCGCCCCCACCCCCACGTCTGCCCCTTTCGAGCGCCCCCACCCCGAGCCTTCGCCACCCGCTCGCAGCACCCAGCCGCCGGCGAGTGGGGCGGGGAGCTCAAGCTGCTTGCGGAGGGTTGGGGGGGGGCCGCGCAGCGCCCGCGCGGTCCAGGCCGCTGCACCCCACCTGGGTCGCGACGCACGGCTGGGGGCCACCAGAACCTGCCTTTTCTCTTCTCTCCTGCTTCTCCCTGCCCTTTAACTCTTCCCACCTAGCGGCTCTGAGCTTCTCTCTACTTATACTACCTTCCTCCTGGGCTGGCCACCCTGGGCCAAATTCGGAGAACCGTGACCTCAAAGCTTCTTCTCTGCGGGAAATCCCAGTACCTGGAAGGCTGGAGGAAAAAGCTCTTGGGGAGGAGAGCCTGGGACATTTTCCTCAAATGCTAACTTCATCACAGCTTTATTGTGCACCAACTGTATGTCAGGCCCATTGATGGCGCCGGGTACCGGGAAGCCCGAGGCAGCTCACTGCGCTCCAGGCGCGCTCCGGAGGGAGAGCTGACGGTAAACAGGAAATTAGTGTAGGTACTAAGGGGACTGGTGGGTAGAGGCTCCACCGCGATTCTCAGGAGCGATGGATGCGACTGGGTGAGGCATTTCTCTGAGGAGGTGACGTCTGAGCTGGGGCCAGAGGGAGGAGCTGGCAGTTCAGAGTGCGTCGGAACGAAGTCTTTTCTATTGGTAGCACGTCGAAGGAAAGGAGATAACTAAAATCGAATAGGAGGTCAAAATGATGAATTCACAGGGCCCTAGGGTGACCTCTACGAAAAAAGTGGACAAGCCGAAGCGCGGAGGCCCCGGCGCTTGCTGGGGTCCGTGAAGCAGGTTCCTGCGCAGCGCTCGTCCACACTCCCACCTGCGAATCCCAAGTGAACGCAGAGGGGACCCAAAGTTATCTTCTGATTTTGGCTGAGGATTGCCCTGGGGATAGAAGGAAACGCAGAGTTTGGGGGGCGGGGATAAACAGACAAACAAAACATCCCCCCAACTCTTTTCCAGTCTCTTGGGCCTCAGTTTCATTATTTGCGAAGCGAGATGTCTGAAGTTGGAAATTTCACGGGTACCTTCCAGTTCCTCCAGTTGAGGAGAAAACAGCTATTACGGACTATGACTCACTCGGTTTTTAACTTCTTTTTCATGCCCAAATCTGAAAGCAGAAGGCGATTGGCTCAGACTGCTTGGGAGACTACCTCTTACCCCCCAACCTTGGTGTTACCAGGTCGCATGTTTTTAGCTTAAGATTGTCGGTGAGCCACGAGAGGGGCGCTCTGCCCCTCGGGTCTTGGGAGCACAGTGAGCGGGGCAGATTCATAATTTTCATCTTTAGGCAGGAACTAGCTTTCTGGCTACTGCTGTTTGGCCAGTTTGTCTTAGGCCAGCAGCCCTTTTAGAATAGGTAAAAACAGTTACGGTGAAGTGTGCGAGAGGACCTCGGGTGGGCGTAGGGGGCGGGAAGCGGCCTCTTGCCCGGTCCGAAGTGAAGGAGACCCTTTCAGAGTTGGACGCTTTCTCTTTCACTCCTGGCAGGGGATGTTCCTTCCGCCAATGGAGGTTTTTTGGGGGGAGAGAGAGTTTTTGGTCCGCTGAGGCAGTTTAAGCAACGGATCAGCAGACGACCTCCTAGCCTCGCGATGTCGTGGAGGAATTCCGAGGACACCCACAGTTACAGTGACAGCTCGAATCCAGTGGGGCTGGGTGTACCCTTCTCCCTTGACAGATGCGGTGCAAGAAAGGCCGTGTTCAGGCCCAGGAGCCGTCGGTGGGAGCTTGGCGTGCGGGGCGCTCAAAGGCTCCTTCTGTTCTGGCCCCGCGCGCGGACAGGTCAAAGGCATCTTCTGTTGACGCCTTGCTAGAGTATCTTTTCCGCGGGTTTCCGGAAAAGCAATGCTTCTTGCTTGGGAGCAGTTCAGGGCCACTACCGTCGGGCTAGTGGGCTTTGTGGTGTCTGGGGAGAGAGGGAGGGGAGGAGCCCTTCAAGGGCGCGTGGGGTAAGCGCAAACACTCACAACTTGGATATTATAAAGCTGTGAGCTGGGCGCTCACACGTGGGCACGTTACAGCCTACAGACCCACCGCCACCACCTCGGCCTCGGCTCCGTCTCGGGCCACGAGGCCAGAGCCATACTCCCGGAGAGCCACCAAGCAATTTGGACCAAAACAGAGCCACGACGGTAGATCGAAGAGCCCTAGCTTCATGCCCTCGCGTTCCCGGTGCGCTGGCCGAGGGTAGAAAGTGTTTCCCGACACTGAAGCCCCAGCCCGCCGGTACACCCAGGCCGCAGTTGCTGGAGGAGAGTGCAGATCCAAAGGGCCAGACGCCTGTCCATTTTGGGAAGGGGCCTGCAGCCGCTGCCCCCGCCGCTGCGGATTGCTGTGGAGGAATCCCCGGCGTGGCCCAGGGCCCGGCCGCGTTGGGTGGCGCTCGCCCCCTCTCTCCTCATTCCCCGGAGGTTGATTTAATTCCGGCGAGTTTTGCAGGCGCTCAGCAACACCGGCGGGGGCCAGTACGAGCGCGCTCCAGCTGCCTGCAGACCTCTGTTCAAGAAAAACAGATCGTGTAACCACCCTGGCACCAACCAGTCGGTTTCAAGTTTCCGCGTGTAATTTGAAAGCACACACACAACCACTACACTATCCAAATATTGGCTGGCGCTGAGGACGCTGGCAGGGTAATCATTGCCCCGGGCTTAGGGTAATTATCTCAGGCGTATTTGGTTTACCCCTAGGCAATTGTTGGCGACGCTTTGCGAGGAAGAGGGGTTCCCTGCAAGGTTTTATTGCGTTTAATTGGCTCTATGGAGGGGCGTAAAATTTTGCCAGAAAAATATGTGGAACTTTAGGAAAGGCTATTCATTCCCTCTCCTCTATCCTCCCAGCCCCCGGAAGGTCCCACACAATCCTCAACCGTGATCCAAGCCAGACAATCCCAAAGCTTCCGCGAAAGGAGGAGTGCTGGTCATCGAAGGAGCTGGACAACTTTCTAGACTAGGAAGAGCATAAGGTTAATGCGCCCATCTCGATTTTTCATGGGTTCTCTCTTTACCCACTGATCTCTGACGCGCGGATTTAGTTACATCTGGGACTCTCCAACGGGCTTCCACTGTTGCCACATTCCGCCAGTCGCCCGACCCTCCACTGACTCCTCCACCCACACTTTCCCCAGACGCACCCCCATTGTGGGTGAGAGGAGGTCCGGCTGGAATCCCGTCACGTGGTTTCTAGCCCCAGACCTGTAATCACCGGCTGGATGACCCTGGAGGCATTGTTTCCTCGACTGAGCTATATTTTCTTCCTGGAACTGTGCTGGAGTCAGAATTGAGCCTTCAAGGTCCCCGCGCTCCAAAGAGTTGAAGTTCGAGGTGTGGTCGGGAAGGGCGGCGTGTCAGGGGGCCTTGGGCGCTCGGCGCAGGGAACTCAGAACCCGTGCATCCCGGGAGGCCGTGAGGCAGCAGCGCCACCCCGCCGGCACGCTCGGTGTCCCGGGAAACAGTGGTCTCTAGCGTCGCCACCCGGCCCGGCATTCTCGCAAAGCGCACTCCTCCCCAGCGTTAGCCACCGGAACAGACCCCGCGCCCTGGCCCAGCAGGCCCTGGGAGCACAGGTGTTAGCTCCGGCCCTACTTGGATATGTGCGCAGAGGCTTGATTTGCCTTTCTGGAATTTCTGCGATTCCCCAAGGAAGGAAGGCAGAAGCGAGAACTCTGAGCCTTATTTTCTAGAGATCGGGGTATTTATTTCCTAGAGGGGGGAGGGGGGAGAAAACATTGGCCTGAATTTATTAGATGAGGCTTGAGACCCAGCTTCACCATCTACTTGCAGCCTGACTGCCTTGTCTCTCGGCCTCAGTTTCCTCTTCTGTAAAGTGGCTATGACAGTGGGAGCTTAGGTTGTGATGATGAGGCGCGAGAGAGAATATTTTCATCC